CAAAATGTATGCTTAAAAAGCGAAACTGTAAAAAAATTTTTGGGTGTTCGTTAGGGATTGCTATACTCAGCTCGGCGAGCTCTATCGATTGGCTAACTCAGATTTTAATTTGGGGGCGTTCGTGGGTGTTCGCGTCTTTTAGCAATACCCTATAAATCTCTTCGCTAAACTCAAATTTATTCACTACGTTATACTTTTCTTAGGGTGTTATGCATAAAATTTGCTCGGTCACTGGAAACGTACTACGGACGGATTGTGATTATACGTAAACGGAGCTTCAAGTCTTGGTTGAATCTGACTCACCCGATACAGCACCTTTGGCTAAAAATAAATTGGACGTATATTTGAGTTGACGTATAATTAAAAGTTAATTATACAAAAGTAAGCAAGTTCTTTCAGTTTTATTAATTGTTTGTCTTTAGTTTGATATATGTCTTGCTGATAACATTTATATAAAAGATGAGGTAACCGAGGAACGATTAACCAGTTTTATTATTTCTCTTTGCTTGAATTGAAATAATCTTCAGGCTCTCTCTACCTTTTTGCTATCATTGAATACATCAATTTTTTTTTTCTCTCTTGTGAAAAAAGGAAATATTTACATTACTGACAGATATTGAATAATGTGAGAGAATCTGTTTTTTTAATCTTTTTTAAATAGAAACTTGTATTGTTGTTTCTTTTTCTCTTATCGATCAGCCGTTTGAATGTTCATCAGAATGATCGAGATGGTTTAGATTTGGAAGCAGAAGGAAATGGTAAGCATACATTTTATTAATTTCTATTTTTATTGTCTCTCACTCATAATTAAAGTTACAAATAAGTTTTTCACTCTTCTATTTAAATGTACATTCATTTTGATCTTTTAATTATTAATTTATAGTTGAATATTAAGCTGTTTTTTTTCGACATTAATACAATTTTTATTTCGTTATTAAAATTTTTCAGTTTTTTTTGTCTTTATCATAATCAGCGTTTTCGATAGAAGTTTTGGTGGGCGTGAAGAGTCTGCTGAGTAACTAAAGTTTTTTCTTGAGTAACGAACGCATTTTTTGAGTAAACGTTTTTTCTGAGTAACTGCATGATTTAAGCATATTGAAGACTCTCAGTCTTTAATTAGCTGAAGAAACTTACTCAGGTGCATAAGAGCCAGTTTCTCAGTAAATAAATGAATTACTCAAAAGCTAGAGAAATTCACTTACTCAGGTGCATAAAAGCAGTTTCTCAATTTAAATTTCTTAAAAAATTTCTGAGCAAGTCAAATTTTTTGAGTAACTTTATCCAAACGTTATCCTAATCAATAACGCTGGTCATAATTCACCATAATTGAACAAACAATTATATTAGAGACTATTTCTAAATTTGATTAAAACAATCGATATATACTGGAGTATTTATAATGTAACGATATATGTGAATAACATCGAAGATTACAAATTAGATGGGATTATTATGACTATCATCCAGTTAAATGTTAGTATTTAAATAAATGAGAATCTAATCACATCTAACATCTAATTATCTAACATATAATTATGTTTGTTTAATGTAAGTAAAATTATTTTATTTTCCTTATTTTTACATATTTTATCAAACAACATCCTGTTGTCTATTATAAAGTTAACTGAATATGTAAATCAGAACATTTTTATTAATTAGAAGCACTTTTTTTTTCATGAACCACAATTTTTTCTTGTGATAGTCGTATCATATCGATTATTTCTAACCAATTTGAGTGACATACTTTTATTACAGTAGTGTAACATCTACAAATAACTCTTAAAGTCATCTACGGTTAATACTCTATCTTTGTTTTCTATCGATGTGGTCAGTCTGAGTAATTACTTAATTTTGTATCATAAATAACTTTCGATAAATGAATGAAAATGTTTATTATTGAGTATGCACTGATAGTATGTCTTTTAATAACTTTTGCCATAAACAGTACAAAAAAATCAATCTGTTATAGACGATCATTTTTCGATTATTCAAGTGCGTGTGAAGAAATGTTTTTTTGCATGCTCATTGCAATAATGTTTGCAGTCAGAGATATTTTTCTTTAGATTTAATTCAATTTTGTTTTTGATTTTAGGTTCAATTGCATTATGATAATTCAGGTGCTAAGCACTTCTGATCAATGGAACGTGTCTTTTCTTACATCAACTATAAAAATATAGTTCTCTTACAATTTTAGCAATGGAATTGTAATAAACTTACAATATAGCAAATAGAATTGTGGGAAATTGTTCAATCTTCTTTGTTTGTATGAGAATATGTTGTGTGTGAGTTTCAAATTGAGTGGAGCAGAAAACACAAGGAGGAAACAGCAGATTTTGAGACTTTTGTAATTTAGGCTCCGTTTCACAGACAATCGATTTTTTTTCAAGTTTTATTGTAGTCCTAGGGACTTCTTGGCATTCCTCGTGACTTCACGGAGCTCGAAGCATTTTTCTGACTGTTTTTGAATTTTTCCGCTTAGCCCCATTTTCAGTCATTTTTACAGGTTTTCGGGATTTTATCGGATTCTAATCCCTTTTTTCGATTTTTTCGTGTACTTCCAGGGACTCTTTCAGTTTTTCGAGCTTTGGAAAGTTTGTATAGGATTTTCAAGGCTTCTGTAAGCCTAGAAGTCCACGGGTGCTTGGAATTCTGCTGTTTCCGCCTTGCGAAAACAGCTGCTAGTGAGTTGATTTTGCTTTTTTTCAGACGAAATTTCTGAAATCAACAGATGGCTTAGGGATGATTCAAATGAATATTTGATATATTATTTGTTCTCAAGTTCTTCTGGTACCGATTTTTATTCTATTAATTTCTATTCATGTAACAAAAAAGTTTATTGCTTAATTCTATAGCAGAATATTCAGAAAACGTTTTGAAAATTTCAGTGAAATTTTTCTCACAATGTGGTGAAATATCCCAGTTGTAGTGTACACGGTGAAAATGATATACTGTAAATAATATGCCTAACGGAAATCGTTTGTTGTTGTTGTATTTTGACGAATAACTTTGATTCATAACGACTTGTTTCGTAATTCCTTTGTTCGTATATTATTTCTTTCTCTTTCATAACACATGCAAGAAATGTTGACATATAAGAGTTCAAGGGATCATTTCATCAATATACTTAAATGGCTTTCAAACTTAAGTGAGCACTCATGTCTCGACTTAATTTTAGTTAAAGATTATCTGAATTCTTGGTATTTTATCAAAAATTTTAAATATAGTCTATAGTCTTCGTTTTAACCGAGGTATGTTTTAACTCCGCGGAACATAATTACAAAGCGTCTCTTAGAAACGTTATCTGGCCACAACTACAAAATGTGAGCGCTATTATTTTAGCAAAAATCGAAAGATTCTTTCTAGTCTATTATTTGCTTGAAAAAAGTTTTCTAGTCTTGTACCTTTATGAAAGAGTAGTGTCCTACTGCTTGACGTTTGAATAATGAATGAAAATAGTCACTATCAGTTGTCTATTGTGGTCTTTAATCTCGATTAATTACTATTAATACTCGTATTCACACTAAAAAATTCTTAATCATGATTAAATCTAATATATGACTAATTTTAATCTTGATTTATCATTGAATATAAGTTAACATGTGCTTACCAGCAGTTAATCACTAGTTCATTCAAAGTACGTTAGTCAGTTAGCAATATCTATCGTAGAAAAAACCTTCGGGTAATCAAATGTAGGTAGTATGTGATAGAAAGAAACATTCGTTTTTTTTGTACGATGATAATTATAACAGTCAAGGTTTAGGAGTAAAAATAAACGCATACTGTTTTTATTTTTTTTGTCTAGGTCTGCTCTACTGATACATACACAATACATTTTTTTTTAATGTTCTGTGATATGTATTTCTTCCAGTACAAAGAAAAGGATTTAGAAATGACACATTTAATGGAGCAGAATTCGGTATACTTTTGCAAGTGAATAAGACCATGAAAAAAAGAAAGAAAATATACGATGACGTAATTTTTCTCGAACTAAAAGGATAACATTCTGGACCACTGTAAATATCGATATAAATATGTCAGATATGTCTTATTTTACGGAATATTTATTGAAATAGCTTATTTTTTTCTTTCTGTTTGTTTGTACTTCTTATTTCTAAATTAACGTGGTAAAAATGTGCGCAAACTTTGTCTTGCGATATGTCAAAGATATTAGACGTTGCTTAAGAAATAAGAGAAAAATAAAAAAAGGATTCTGTATATTCGTCATAAAGACATGTGAATAAAACGAAAAATCTTAGTGAGTGAATTTTCATATGCTTTCTTTTATTGTTTTTTTTTTCTTTGCTCTAGATTTTCTTTTTTTACTTACTATATTCTATAAAATTTCCAGTAGTCAATTATCAATTAATAGTCAATAGCTATTGTGCAAAGTACAAGGTAAACATTGTAATACAGATTTAATACTATAACTAAAGTCACTAGAACAATTTTTATAATTTTTGAACTAGTGAAGATGAAGTTTCATAAATCATCATTATATACATGCTTTGTTTTTACTTTTATTTAGTTAATTTTAAAAATCTATAATCTCAATTCACCTTTATAATCGTTAATAGTAAATATGAATTCGAATTTTTCTGAACAACCTCGAGCAACAGTTCTATCATCGAATCCGCAGACAACACTTGGTCAAGCGCAACGGCGTTTAATGCGAGATTTACGTGATTTAAATTTAAATAAAGTAGAAGGTATGTATCATTGGTCTCACTTGGATAATTTTTTTTTTTTGTTTCAAAAATAGTTTAGTGAAACCGTCTACTATAGAGTGATAATGATCATTTTTTTATAGGTATTTGTGCTTCACCAGTGGATGCTCATAATATTTATTTATGGAATGCAATAATCACTGGTCCACCAGATTCTATTTTTGAAGATGGAACATTCCAGTTAACCATGAAATTCAACGAAAATTATCCAAACCAACCACCAGAAATTCGTTTTGTTACAAAAATGCTTCATCCAAAGTAAGAAGTATTTATATATTTGTGTGAATTTTTAAAATTCAATTCATCATAGAAAAAATAAAGTTATACATTATTTTTTTGATTTATTTTAGTATTTATACAGACGGGAGTCTTTGTCTTGACATTCTTCAAAATAGATGGAGTGCATCACTCGATGTTAGTAGTGTACTCATATCAATTCGTTCATTATTAATTGATCCTAATCCAAATAGTCCAGCAAATAGTGCAGCTGCAATATTATATCGAGATAATAGACGTGAATATGAAAGACAAGTACGAGAATTAATTGAAGAGTCATGGCGCGAAGATTTAGATACTGATAATGATGATAATTCAGATGATGAAGAAATGAAAAATAAGACAAGAGCAACAACAACAACAACAACAACTAATACAACAAGAGAACAAGAAAATGCTGAATAAAGTTTGAATTTATTTTTATTTATACATTATATTCGATAAAGTCATTTTTCCTCAGATCCTTTCATTTAACTAAACTAGTTTTTTTTTATCGTTTTTTTTTTGCGATATGGGGTTTTGAGAATCGACACACAAACAGTTTATGTCTTTATTTACGTATGTAAGATATTGTATTGTATATAACAAACTATTTTTATGTTTCATTGTACATAATAACGCTTTTGTTGTCGTTTATATTTATTATTGTTTGTAATTTCAACATCGGTATATTGTCAAAAAAAAAGAATGGTGTTTATTTAAAAAAACGATAATGAATCTTTCTTTCTTTCTCTTTTAATCAACTTTCAAATCAATTATTTCATTCAATATGTTAGTTGTTGAATGGATTTTAAACTTAGAAACATTATGTAAGAAATTCGTTTCTAAAGTTAATGTTAAGCCATTTTTCGGTATTTTATCTATAAGAAACCGGAACTAAAGACAGTTCCATACTAGACCATTGACTGCACACATCTACGGTAGTACTATTGTCTCATCTCATGTGCAGTATCTCATGTGTAGTATCAGAACAGCGAGCAAACAAATCGTGTGAATAATAATAAACCTTGATGAATACCACTTAGCAACCATCAAGTGAAAACACTAAGGCACTCTTGTGTCTCAAGAATAAAACATAGAAAATATCTTTTCATTTTAGGGCAGTTCGTTCTGTTTCGTTAATAGATGCGGGGTTATGTTTGTATTATAAGATTAAGTTAAAGTATGTCAGATTTATTTCGTCGTTCTCTAGAAATAGATAGTGTTTATTTGTTACTGGATACAGGCAATGGATTAAGTGAATCGAAGTTTTACGTTTTCTTTCATTGTTGTTCCTATTGTTGTACAAGTTGTGAGGTTGAAACAGAGACTTATTTGAGATACCAGATATATGTAGACCTGCACAAGTTAAAAATTCAGTGTGCTTTAAAAAAAATTTATGTTTTCAACAGTACTACAGTACTCCGCAAAAGTAGTGACACCTCTGTAATTCAAGAACTATGATAGCTAGGGACTTCTAATTTTGTGTTGATATAACTCTTACTGAATGCTGATCACCCATCAAGCTTAGGCCTCTTTTACTGGATGATTCATGAGATATGGCGATTTCTTTCTTTTCTGTAAAATATCAATAGCTCCTGACCTAAGAGAGATGAAAACTGCTTCTCTTTACTATTATTAGAACTTTAAGCGCCGCCGCCGATGGTCATAATACTAACTGGTTTTATCCTCCGCCGATAGAAAAAGTTTTGAAATAAAAAAAGTCATGAGAAATTAGAAAAACAGGAAGTTATATTGTAATAAGCCCCACCGCTGATGATGAAAAAATTCCAAAAAAGTGTTTCAGCCATTGCCGATCGAACAATTTCTTTTAAACGTCGCCGCCGAAGGCGGAAAATCTTTTAATGGGGCTACACCACTACCAAAACTTTTGTTTCACGCCGCTGTCGATGTTCCGACCGACGCACGGGTCTAGCAGTGAACGAAGTTTATGTTTTTTATATGATCTTTTTAACACTTTATCTCTCTATAAAATGTGCAAATATTAGTTAGAAATTGATTGGTAATTTATTTGAAATGGATAATGCTGTTTTGTTGAATAAATAATTTGAATACAGTTTAATCATCGTACATCTTTCAACATAGTATTCTGATGAATAAAATTGTCTTTTTTTTCGCATGTTAACAAATAAACATTTAACTTGTTCTTTATTTGAAACCATAGTAATTTCGTTAATGTGACCTTAAATTTATAAATCTTTCATTCAGACATCGAATATCACTGGTATCTATAAAACTAACAAAACAAATATTTCACAGTCGAAAATTACTTACTCGTTTGATTTTTCATCTAAAACACTCGCTCCAGAAAGAATATTGAGTAGAATAGTTAATTGAGCAAGAAAATAATGTTCAATAACACTTATTTTCTGTTAATATTATATCACATATTTGCGTAAAACTGTTCGTTGTCTATTTGACTTGTACCGAATCAATGGTGGTAAAGTTTCTCATTGTCGTTTCACATTTAATCACATGTTTAAGTCCTAATTAATCTTGATATGATTTAAGCTTTAATGTATCTAAAATATAAATGAGAATAAAACCATTATACTATTCTCAATTAAAAGTATCGAAAAAGACAAAATAAGTCGAGTAGAAAGTGAGATTCGGACATATGACGTTAATTTTGCCGTAAACTACATACTGTAAAATAAAATTCACCATTCCTAATCTATATGATGTATAACCGTTATCGACTCGAAATCAATCGTTTTTAGCTAGACGTTCGTAATAGAACTTTAAAACATGACTTAAATCTTTGTTATCACATTTTTCTTGATAAAGTTTCTTAATTGTGCAAGATTTTCTTGTTGAATACATTGAAGAATTGGTTACCAATATGTCAAGTCTAGATATTGTAAATTTTTTAATTCAAATATCATTTATCCTGTGCTAGTTATTTTATCTGTAATCAGTTTTAAGTTATAGCTAACTGGAGAAAAATTAGCCGAAAACTCGCTAATTTAAATAAAAACATATGTGATTTGATACATGTGACTGTTTTCAGAATCGAGAGTAACAAACATACGGTTTTCTAAAAGATCTTGCACTTTTGAAAAATGAAGCCAATTTTTTCCACTAACTTCATTGTTCTGTAGGGAAAAGTGTATGTGTAACATCTCTTCAAAATGAGATTGGTTAAAATAAGAGTTTTTCAAATTTCTCACCTTTCCTTTATTGAATATGAATAATTAGCAAAAAGTATTTTTTTACATATAATGAAAATTGTGAGAGAAATTAGAATATTCAAAACTGATTATGATTATTGATTGATTAACAGGCTAAATAGTTAGCCTTTTTCCATGTTTTATTATTCTTAAAACGAGGAAAAATCAGTTAGAAATATAATCCTCTATATTGGTTCTAATTTCAGACTGCGCTTACATTATGTACTTTGTTAGCTATCAATTCCAATCCAATATAATTCTCTACAATCAACATATTTTTAAATAATTAATGCATCTTAAAAGAACTATAACTAACGTTTAATATATATGAATTGACAGCAACAAAAAGTTTTCCTACAAATATTTCTACAAATTTTGAAATAGCTTTGGCGTTTTGAATTAGTTAAGGACATGGTTGAAACTACATATTATTCCTATAAGAAACGAGAGAATTTTTCCATTCTAAATTGAGATTGATTTATTAAACATGTTAATAATGTAGTCTCAATAATGAATCATTGGAATTAAGATACAATCAAAATTTGAACCTATAGTTTCTCTACAGATTACTATTTTTATTTTGTGAAGTTGAGAAGGTATTTTTTGCTGAACTATACGCTGCAAAAAGACATTACTGTCATACACGAAACTGTTTTATGAAAGAGAAAAAAAATTGTATGAGTTCTATAGTTACAGCCATAATCAAAATTATTTTAAGTTTCTTCTTTTTTAAAGAAAAGGTGCCGCTATACAAGTTTTTTTTTTTTGACAATTCTAAATGTTATTTACGATCTTTCAAACAAATTCTTGTTCGTTATTTAGAAAATCTAACATACATAAGATGATCTAAAATACTTTAATTTTTATGTTCAATTCTCATTGCATAACTTCATCGTGAAAAAAGAACGAAATTAATTATGAGCTGTTTAGTTTTGTTTTGCGAGAAAAAGATGTTTTATTCTAAATTGATAGATCATAATGAGGAAAAAAATAAAATTGGAAACTGTTCAAAATATTAGGAACTAATTCTAAATAGTTAGACTACTGACCATTTTATTTTGACTTTTCATCTTCTCATTTCTCTTCTAGAAGTTCGTTCATATAATATGAATTTTATCCACACACATTTTTTTTCTCCTTCTCCGTTGACACATATAGACAGAGTATGTGACGATTATCAGCGCCAAGTGCAAGACAAAGCATGGCAATTACAGAACGATATACGTGAGTGGAGAGAAAATACTGTAAAACAAATTAATCAACATACTGATGTACAAATACGACTATTAGAAACATGGAAGTACAATACTCTACGTCGTATTCAGGAAGAAAAAAGCGTGTATTCGGATTGGATTATTGTTTATTCGGAGAAGAAAGACGATAATGAAGTAAAAAATATTATTAGACTTTATGAAAGTTTAAAATATAAACTGGAAGAACTAACATATGATATGAAACCATCTGTCTTTTTTCCCTATGCTCCATCAAGTGAACAACAACAACAACAACAACAGCAATCGCAAGCGACTAAGCAAACCGATCAGCTTTACAACTCGACACATAAAACAGGTCAGCAGTTATCTACACGTACGTCGAATGATATTAGTAATTCTAGACAATCATTGACACCGTCAACAACAACAACAACAACCGATGAAACAAGTAACACCAAATCTCGTTTTAACCAAGAATCAGATTTTATAAATCAAAAACAAAGAACGTTAGTATTATTATAAATAATCACCGATATATAACGTTTCACTAATTGTAGGCTATCATTAATATTTTTACTAATTTAGTGGAAGGATGACAGATGAGACTTATTCCTCTTCAACAGCCAAGTTCCTTAATGGTAGAAATAACATTGGTGGTGAAACAAAATGTCCGGTATGTATGATGATATTTGATTCACGCATGCCACCAGAAGAAAAAGAGAAACATATCATAGAACATTGTGATTAACTCAATCACACTCAATAACCATTCTGTAGAAATTTAAAAACTTATTGATGATATTTATGTTAAAATATCTCATTTTTTTTGTTTTTATTCTGCTGTTTTTGTTGAGATTACACGAAGGCAAATTATTTTTTTATAATTGAAATATTATCTAGTACGTCTGTTTATTACTTTTTGAATAAACCGGTCTAAAAAAATTTTTTCTTATATATTATTATAAAAAAAAGATTTTAGTCATATATTATTCTTCAAATAAGCATTTGCTATTTTTTAACAATACTAAAAGTAGTGAAAGCTACAAAAACATCAACTACTTCAATTTTTCAAAGAACTGATAAAATCAATGGGAATTTTGTTCTTCATTTGTTCCAAATAGAGAACTCAATATCTGCTCTTCAACTCTCAAGAAATGAAAATTTGTTCTTCAATTTTTGAAAAACTGTTCTTTTTACATTCTTTGGAAATTGAAGAACAGAATTTGAGTTCTGTATTTGGGACAAATGAAGAATCAAATTCCCATTGATTTTTCAGTCCTTTGAAAAACTGAAGAACATTGTCTTTTTAGAGTGTGTACATTGTATAAGAATAAAAAAATGTTCTTTATTTCTTCCATATTTTTGTTTGCAATTCAAACATGACGAATGCAGTCTTACTAGGCACACACTAAATTTTAGAGTCATGTTTTACGCTATTGTAAAAATCGCCCAGAAAATTTACCTCTTTGTCACTCCCTAATGAAATGTTTTCACTTTCGTCGTTTGTTGTTGTACTGAGTCAACCCATGGAAGATATTAAATAATTTAATAAGAATTTCAAATTCTGATTAAATTATTGCTATTAAAGAATAAACGGTAAACGTTAAATGTGCATTTTCTGTCTGTTTATGTAACGGTCATAAAACGGGCAATAAAATACCATTTAATGGTTATCTAAATCTGAGCCTTACTAATACACAATTAATTGTCTTCAGGCCGTCATTAAAGATCAGATGAAGGACAATGAATGGTGTCTGCTAACTGACCATTTTTTCACAATCAAAAGCCTGTTGAAACCCTGTTGTTAGCCATTCGTTAACAAGCCATTTATGTCTTATTAAATGTCAGTTGTTTTTTACCTGGGCAGCTTCGAACAACTTTTCATTTTTAAGTTTACAGCTGCCGAAACGCTACTTTTCAAAAACTTTTAAATTTGAGCCAGCTATACTGACTCAACCCATGGAAGATATTAAATAATTTAATAAGAATTTCAAATTCTGATTAAATTTTTGCTATTAAAACAAAAATTCTTGTGAATCATACAAAAGCTCTAAAAAAAGTGCCATCTCTTCGGTCCACGATATTTTTTCAGTATTTTCAATATTAAAAAGTAAAAACAAAATAAGTGCATCAGAGCAAGCATATCATCAGATATACCGAAAAGTTCCGCATCTTTTATTATCAGAACTAAATTTTCGGCAAAATTTATTCGGTAAACATTCATGTCCACTCTATTGTGAAATATACGAAGTTTCATTAGGATAGAAAACACACTCATTCCAGAAAACGTTGTTTATTCTGACTACTTGATGAGTACATGTCAGGTTTTTGTTGGATTTTATCAGCACTGGTAATGTCTTAAAAATATCGATGACAAACTTTAGTTACTAGTCAACGTTAGGGGATACTAATGGTTTCTGCAAGACACTCAAACAAGCGAAGTATCGATTATTTTGACTTTAAACAGTTATTATTATTGCCTAACAATGCATATAGACTGTTTTGTTAATAAAAGAAGTATTTGAGAAAATCTGACCAGAATGCTTATTAGAGCTCTTATCGCTGATGTTTGAAGTTCTGTTTTGGTAAAGCAAGCTTATAGTATGGTGCGAGGAGACTGAGCGTAGTCGAACAAAATAAACCTGAAATTAAAGTAGCAACTTACAATGCATCTAAATATGAAAGCAAGATGATCGTATAATAACTAATACAATTACACTCCTTCTGTTCTCATCTTGATTCAAGAAGCTGAAAAAATACTATAACAATCGAACGTAATGAATTATTAAATCAAATTTGTTAGTCGATTAATTAATGGAATAATGGGATATTATCCTCGAATACATTTAAAAACATCTATTTTGTTTACACAAAATATCTTAAACTAAATGCAATTAACTCAAGATTTTGGTAGATCAGTTCCTGACTCGCTGAAATATGTGGTTTTGCAGTGAAGTGAAACTTGTTTGTGCAACTTAGTTCTGTAAACAACTCTTGAATATCAGAAACTGAGTGTAAGGCCTATATAGTGTTGTCAATGAATAAATTTACTTATTGAACAAGAATACATTTCACAAAAGCAGAGTTATATGAAATTTTTGACTTATTGTGTCCTCATCTAACTTGAGTTTGCTGCATGCTGTTTTCTTATTGCAACAGCTATTAGAATCAAACACATATTCCCGAAGAAAGAAAATTGAGAATTCCATTTGTCAGAAATAGCATTGTTACTACACACTAAACAACTTATTATCGCGTTTACCTCTGATAACGAACGTTTAATGCGTATATGTCAATCAACCTCATTACCTAACACTGATGTTACATTTTTTTAACGGCCAAGAAACAGGCTGAAAACAAGCATTTAATAATAGCCGTTTAACGGCCATTTTTGCGTAATTATTGGTTATATATGGCCATGGATTCGACTGTTGATCATGACTAATTTCTTTCTGACTACTACCATGAAATAAACAGCTTTTCAAACTTCTAAATATTTTCAGTTGCCCAGATATGATCGGTGCCATCCCTAGAACCAGTAGTTACTTCGTCAACACAAGTTTCAATGACTTATATAGTCGAGGAAGAACAAAAATATACTAGCGGGGTCAGATAAACAAAAGACATTAAACGGTAAACGTTAAATGTGCATTTTCTGTCTGTTTATGTAACGGTCATAAAACGGGCAATAAAATACCATTTAATGGTTATCTAAATCTGAGCCTTACTAATACACAATTAA